AATGCAAAAAAGATACATACAACCTTTTGTTTACCTTGGTCCACATTGTAGTCGTTTCATTGTTCGATCCGATTTTGGTTCGTCCCCTTCATTGTGATTTGTACTTCGATCCAAGATACTTTTTCTTATCCTCAATTATACATCCATCTTTCTTATTTTACATGATATTCTTGTTAATAATTATTCTTAATATCGTCACTCATTATTATTATCAAAACTACGACATACCAACTCCTATTTTGTATGGATTTTTTCATATACGATTTTAGCTCATTGATTAGAACTTATCACATTGTGGCAAACAATTTTTCTTACCTTTTATGTATGACCTCTTCTTGGCTTTATCAGTGACATTATTTTGTTCTAGTTAGTAATTTCTGGTATTTAAAACCTAATCGATGAGAAATTAGCCACCTTCAATTTATAAAGTGAATTAAATCAACTAAAATAATTTGCCTATTGTAATACAATAATAATTTTGCATTCATAACTCTAGAGATCGAAGAATTTTTAAATTGTCTAGATCGAACACAAATCTCCAAGAGATTAAATCATTGGCTCTTATTTCCACCTGTTGCCAAGTGAAGTTCGGGGTCTTTACGTCTGAATCTAAATCTTGGAGGCATGTGTTCATTAGTCTTCTTCTTCTTTTACCTTGGAGATTCCATTTAATCACTTGCCATAAGATGCAATCTAATGGTTTCCTAAAAGTGTGCCATGTCCACCTCCTAGTGTTTTTCCCTAGTTTCCTCCTCAACTTGTTTGTTGTCTGATAAAAAGGGTTATTGCCGACGATCTCTGAGGTACCGGGTATAGACAACTGTTTATAAATAACCGTACTGTTTTAGTGATGGTGGAGATAGTTCCTTAAGTTTCAAATCCGCACGACTGAACTATTTTAATGTTTGTGTCAAAAGTCTCGACTTTGACCGTGAATGATTGTATCTTGGAAGTCCAGATGTTCTTCATTCATAGAAATAATAACCTTGCCTTCGCAGTCCATGCTTTGATCTCTATATCGAGATCCCCCGTGTCTCTAAATGATACTACCTAAGTACATAAAGGCTTATAGCTTCTCACTGTGCCGCATTTCTCCCTATGAATGTCGAGGTCTACTGTTACTGAAACCGCCAGTGTACTGGCTGTTTTCTTCTACATTTGTTGCTATGTGCAGGACCGCAGTGATAGGTCACCTGCAAAGTTCATGACATCCAGCTGATTCTAAGGTGTCCAGTGTTTCCATGATTCTTTTGAGATGTGGAGGTTTTCAAAGTCTAGAGTAGACAGCTTTGTCTGACACCACCACTCACTCTGAATGCTTCTATAAACTGCCCTCCATGCATGACTTCACATTATAATCCGTCGTAAGAATTCCATGTGATGGTGATGGTCCTCTCAATTAATCAACAGTATTGAGGAAGATTACAAAAGGCTTTCTTATCCAAGCCATCAAGCTCTATTTCGTAATCACAGAAGTGGATATATAGTGACGAAATTCGTTTAACAGACTGTTCAACTAAACAACCAGGTAGACGCCCAACTTCAAGACCAACAGGCAGGATTCCGTAAGCATAGATCGTGTACAAACCAAATCGCAACTCTACGGATCATTGTGGAACAATCAATTGAATGGAATTCACCACTCTACATCAACTTCATTGACTACGAAAAAGCATTTGATAGCGTGGACAGAACAACACTATGGGAGCTTCTTCGACACTACGGTGTGCCTCAGAAGATAGTCAATGTCATACGGAATTCCTATGATGGATTAAACTGCGAAATTGTGCATGGAGGACAATTGACAGACTCGTTCGAGGTAAAGATAGGTGTCAGGCAAAGTTGCTTATTCTCACCCTTTCTCTTTCTCCTGTTGATCGACTGGATCATGAAGACCTCAACATCTGAAGAGAAACGTGGAATACAGTGGACATCTAGGATGCAGCTGGACGATCTAGACTTCGCAGATGATCTGGCCCTTCTATCCCAAACGCAACAACAAATGCAGGAGAAAACGACCAGTGTAGTAGCAGTAGGTCTCAATATACACAAAGGGAAAAGCAAGATTCTCCGATACAACACAGCTTGCACCAATCCCACCACAATTGACGGAGAAGATTTGGAAGATGTAAAAACCTTTGCATATTTGGGCAGCATCATTAATGAACATGGTGGATCTGATGCAGATGTGAAAGCGCGGATCGATAAAGCATAAGCAGCATATTTACAACTGAAGAGCATCTGGAACTCAAACTAACTGTCAACCAACACCAAGGTCAGGATTTTCAATACAAGTGTCAAGACAGTTCTACTGTATGGGGCAGAAACCTGGAGATCTACGAAAGCCGTCATCCAGAAGATACAGGTGTTTATTAACAGTTGTCTACGCGAAATAATTCAGATCCGTCGGCCGGACACTATTAGCAACAACCAATTGTGGGAAGGAACAAACCAGATCCCAGCGGAGGAAGTGGATGGGACACGCATTGAGGAAAGCACCCAACTGCGTCACAAGACAAGCCCTCACATGGAATACTCAAAGCCAAAGGAAAAGATGAAGCCCAAAGAACACATTACGCCGGGAAATGGAAACAGACATGAGGAAAATGAACAAGAATTGGATGGAACTAGAAAAGGCCCAGGACAGAGTGAGTTGGAGAATGCTGGTCGGCGACCTATGCTGCATTAGGAGTGACAGGCGTAAGTAAGATTGTTCAATTATAACGCACAGTGCCACGATTCGATTAGTGGATAATCTTTTCGTATATTCAACCTATAATTTCTTTTTGGTATTTCTGACTTTGCCTTCCTACTTCTTGGCTCTTAGATCTTCCTCAGACTATAAACAGAGATTCATTCTTTATGCTTTTGTCCTTTTGGGCTTAGTGCCCAACGACATATTCAAAATCCGCTATAATCTATTCCAAGTTGTGTTATGTAGTGATTTCTTCATTTAGTAGATCTTGAAAGACTTGGAACTTGCTGTCGAGAGCAATCTTGAACTCGATGAGCTCATTACCCTCTCAAAGGATATATATATAAAACAAAAGTCTATAAACAGGTCCTGGGAACTACCTATAATTTAATTTTCTTTTGATATAAATTAGAGTGGGGCATATTAGTCTTTTTGTTTATGAAGATTTCAATGTGTTAATATCGTTTACACAAGATGAATTCGACAGAAACTATCAATTATGTCGCATGTTAAATATATGACTCTGCCTGGAGCCCCTCTGGGGGTATTGCAGGTCTCAAACCGAGTTTCTTCAGAAGTCACGAGGATGATGGCACTTCTGACAACCAGAGTAACCATTCATTTAGGTACATGGTATGTTCGTACAATGTAGGAGACCGGGAGTGATCAAAGTTGCTGCAAAATGAAAAGATACAAACTGAAGGTGTACGAAGTCAGTGAAACACATTGGACAAGGACTAGCTTCAGCTAAGCTCCCGCCATGAATAAAATGCTCCACATACACAAGGAGTCGCACTGACGCAACCAAAACAAGTACAAAAAGCACTTATAGGGTGGAAATCTCATGGACCAAGGATCATCAGAACCTCCTTCAAAATGAACGGCATCCAATGTTATGCGCCTACTAACGATTACAACGAATACGTTAAAGATCAATTCTACGATAGGCTGCAGTCAGTCATCGAAAAGTGCCTAACAAAGGACTTGACCATTCTGATGGGAGATTTAAATGCCAAGGTTAGGATGGACAACATCAGATATGAAGACATCATGGAACGACACGGACTGGGAGAAAGCAACGAAAATGGTGATATTTGCGAACCTATGTGCCTTTAATAAACTGGTCATAGATGGCACTGTATTCCCACATAAACGCATACACAAAGCCATATGGACTTCACCGGATCACACCACGCAAAACCAAATCGACCATATCTGCATCAACAAAAAGTTCAGGAAGACGATGGAAGACGTGAGAACCAAGAGAGGAGCTGATATAGCAGCAGATCATCACTTGCTGGTTGCCAAGATGGAATTGAAATTCAAGAACTACTGGACAACGGTGCGGACAATATCACAATAGTGTAGTACGACTTTTCTTCGGGATACTGACAAACTCAAATATAGTCCTCAGCGATAGGTTCCAGGCCTTTCATGATCGACTCAATGGGGAAGAAGCTACTATGGAGAGCATCTGGAAAGGGATAAAAGAGACAAACACTCCATGTCATGAGGTTCTGGGTCACAAGGAACGAATCACTGTTGATACACTGGATAAGATTCAATAAAGAAGAAACAAGAAGGCAGCAATCAATACCAGCCACACAAGAGCAGAGAAAGTCAAGGCCCAAGCTGAAGAGGAGCATCAGAACCGAAAAACGTAAATATGTGGAGGATTTATCAATGACGGTGGATAAGGCTGCAAGAGAAGGAAACATGAGATAATATTATGACACAACAAAGAAACTCGCTGGAAATTATTGTAAACCGGAGCGACTAGTGAAAAGCAAGGAAGGTAAAGTAATCACCAACATCGAAACAAGTGGGTAGAACATTTAAAACAACTATTGAATCGAACAGTTCCACTGAACCCATCCAACATCGAAACAGCACACACGGACTTCCCAATCAATGTTGGCCCACCAACATTATAATCATAAATACTTTTGTCGACCTGTGATAAACATTAACTAAAATTAATTTGAAATATAATACGACATTGAATCATTACATGGACTACTAAAGGCTCTATAAGTATGTGAGAGTGAGATAGAACTGTTCATTCACAATACTATGGTATTTGAAGGTCGAATTTACAAAATTACTAACATCCAATAGCTATCATGATGCAATTATCAAAACAACTCTCAAGAGGAAGGTAATGTATCTGAAGATTAACCTCTGCAATGTTGTTGAGAAACAATAAAAAGTTAAAATGTGCAATCGCTATGTATTTAAACGATTTATTACCAGACAAAAGCCAAATTTAACCTGACATTTTGTAAGGAAAAATAACATCATTTTACATTGTAACTGTTATTATTTACGCACTAAGAATTTAGTTGTTTCAAAAAATATAATAAGTTTTAGAATAAAGAATGTACGGTAGTATTATCACATAGGTAAAAAAAATGTGTACACAAAAATTTAAACACAAAGTCCAAACAGTGGAAACCACATATTGAAAAAATGCTCTGAATATATTGGCCAGGGGTAAATATTAATTTATCCCATATAACCCATGGGAATACTAATAGATTTCAAAAACTTCCTGATAGTGAGTCGCATTAGATTACTGTGTTGCTTGAAATAACTGGAAACTTTAATGATACGTTTAGAAAGAAAATTAATTAAATACAAAATGAACAAGGTATCTTTAACGATTAGAACATTAGTCATCCATCCAACTGGTTGCAGTGGGAATATAATAATTAATATAGAACTCAAACAGAAGTAGGTTGAGTAGGAAAATCTGAGGATAAATTTGAAGGCACAGAAGCTGATGTAGAAGGAAGTCTTTTGCGATAACCAAAAAATCCATCAGGAACTTCAAACTGATAAAAAAAAACAAAGAAAAAAGAAAACTTATGAATTGTGCAGTTTTGTGGAAAAGGCTTCGTTTATTTGCTTATATACAACAAACAGTACTCTTCGCCAACCCTAACCAAGTATGTGAGCTACAACTCAGCAGCAAACTTATTCTGGAAAATTAATTTGACAAAATTTAGATGTCATAATGATTGTTTCTTTGTGAATAGCTAACTATTTACCCTGGAAGCTCTATTGCATAGTAAAAACATATTTGTACTTTAAAACAGCTGGACAGAAATTATAACTAATTAAGCAGTGTTATACAGTTAAAAACAGAAACAAGTAAATTCACTCAGTACAAGATTTTTTAACGATTTGTAGACTTTATGAGGGGAACTAGGTCATACCAAATGAAAAAATCAAACTGTAAACATCTTACATTGACACGAAAGTCTTCAATAGTCCTGTACTTCTGCAGTAGCTCTTTTAGTGCATGATTGACTTCTACTTTGCGTCCACTATAGTGCAAGAAAGCCCAAAATTTTTCCAACCCATATAGATGTCCATTTTTGTAGTCTCTCAAGGCTTGTTCCTAAGGGGTAAATAAAAACTACAGGTTAGGAAGTGGAAAGTGAAGAGTGCAAATGTTCAAGAAACGTATTATATGCATTAGTGAATGTGTGAATTCGAGGAAATTACTTGTACACGAGACGTGATGTGGCTGAGCTGGTTATGACATATAAATTTATTTTGAAATATATGTATGATATGTGACAGTAACATTAAATAGTTTCCGTATGAAGTTGAAGCAGTGTTCAAAATCATAAAAAGGTAAAAACCGGATATGTAAACAGAGGAAACTGCGCTACAAAATTTACCTGGAAGTCCTTATAAAGAGACCATTTGAAACGACGTTCCAAACCATACGAGTAAAATCGAAACAAGCATTCCAATCCATATCGATAACCAGACGCTTCATCTTCGAGAGCCAAACGTTTGAATTCCTTGTACATACCATGGAAGAAGTTATCTCGTAAAAAGAATGACCAAAACCTATACAATGTGTTCATTTCTTGTGACTGTCCTGCGCCTGATTTTTCACGATCTAAAAGACAAGCAGCACGATATCGGAAATACTCACGAGATGCTAGGCCGCTATCTCGAAGGTATGATTGACTCATATGATTTCCAAAAGTATAAGGAGTTTGTTTATGAACAGAAAACTGGGACTGGTTAGTTTTCACAGGTTCATTTGGCACGAAATTTGGCTTATTATCTTCATCAGTTGCATGTTCGGTAGTTATGATCACAGTAGTTCCAGATGTACTAACATCGCTAACAGAAAAATAATAAAAAATGCTTTTAAACGAAATTAAACGTTACGTCAGATGAATGAGGGTAGTGCTTATTCATTTTATTCACAATTAAAATGATTTATGCGAAAGTGGTTTTGAGAGTAACAGACAATATAGCAAACTTAATCCATTATTACTACTATGATTGAAAATAGCCTTGGGGTATGAAACAAATGAGTAACCGAGACTGTGGTGGTTGTGAAACACACAATAAAAGTACTCAGGAAAATGTATTTATTATGGACAATTGTTGTACTTGCAATATTGAAAAATTAAGCAATATTACGTAAGTCACTTCTGTTTGAAATATGACTTTCCCCTTGCGAAGATAAAGAGGTGTGATCTAATAACAGCATATATTCCTGTACTGAACTTCGAACTCAGCCTTTTGTAGAGCTATATGATACATTATACAGTCGAAAAGTTGGTGGATAGACAGCTATTTGGCAACTGAATTAAAACGAGTACCTAAGTCAATGAGGTACAAAAAAATGTAAATATGCCTAAAAATTATTTAACGCCTGCACTAGAAGTATGTACATTTAGGATAACTGAAGTCACTGAGAATGATAAAAGACGAGGCTTAACATAGAAATACAAGTACATTTACATTTATACGTCTAAAAAAGAAACTGATACACGTATTACTTGATACTAGATATTTTTGTTAAAAATGAACTGGTTTTGTGTAATATTGCTCTCAGGAGCTAAATAATGAGAAAACAAGTGAATAATATGATGGATTAATAATTTTACATGTAAGAATGGATTACCGATAAGTTATATATCAGATTTACATTTGCTTTTAATAGAAAAAAATAGCTTGTGTTTCGCTGTTGTCTATAAGTCAAGATGGTAAACAGACCGTTAATTAATTACACACGTTGACAATTCTTATTTGTTAGTATGTATTCTACAAGAGGCTGAGTCAAATAACAAATATTAAGTACGTTTCTTTTTGAAAACTAAACGTTCTATAGAAAAGGGTTGAATAATGTCAAAGAAAAGACGGTTTAAATTATTGAGATGTTACTTAAAACTGATTTTCCGAAAGTATATTGGGGGTTAAGTAAATATAAAAAATCAATTATTCGTTGGGAAACGCTACTCACATACCTTGCCATAGATATTAGTGTCTTTGGAGTTCGATTACGACTGTCTTCAAGTGTAGCATATGAAGTAGCACTGCAGGTCTGACCTTTTGTGGCTCTAGCTGAAGGTCGAGCAGAAAGATCAAACGCAAATCCGACATCTAATTCATCTCGTTTTCGAGTGCCAGTAGATCCTACTTTTGCGGGATAAAAGCCGGTCATACGACGCTTTGCGGTATGTTTGTTTTTAGGTTTGTCAGCTACCATAGATTTTTGAGAGGCGGATGCCACAGCAGCCCTGGAAACTTCAGCAACGAGTGCTGCCACAGCGTTTTCTGCTTCCAACTGCTGTTCAACTTGACTAGGTGTTAATGACCCCATGTCTAAAGAACACGACAGTACTTCAGAATTGTAAAGTGGTAGAATAGGATATGAGGGAATCCATGAGGAACTAGCAACCAAGTGTGATGGTTCAGGGGGTAACACGTTAGGAAAATAAAAAGGAAATGTTGGATAGGAATTTTCGACAGATTGAGTTTTAGTTTTTTCTAATCGAGACGAATTTAGGTGTGGGTCTTCTAATATGTTGACATTTTCATGAGAAACATAGATTGGTCGCTCGGTTGAACCGGAAGCAGCAGCTTCTTTAAGGCTGACAAAATCTTCTGGTGAAACAAGATTGATCTGTTGAGACGAATAAACAGGAAAAATTAATCCATTTAGTTAAATAAACTATTCACAAGTTAACAACCATATAAACGTTAGTAGCGTAGTTTTTAGCACGTTAACGGATATTACTCTTGAGAATGAGGTGTATGGTCAGGCTATTCTTTAGCGTTGCTGTACTTTTTAATTCAAGTCAACTATGCAGGAGAGTACTGTTGGACAGAACAAGTTTCATTTGTATGGATGCCCGAACGTGACTTTAAAAGATGATCGCAAAAATGATATATATATATATATATATATATATATATATATATATATATATATATATATATATATGAAGTACCAAGATAAAATTTTAGTTAGTGATCAACTAGAAACGAAAATTTAGATTATTTTCACATTACGCATTAACCTCCAGAAATCTTTGAGGACATATCAAAACTTTTGAGTATACGAGCGAAAACAGATGTGATTGATAATATACGGTTTACTTCATTTGACCGCTAAATTCCACAACACAAAACATGCTTGTGCTTGTAGACTTATTAAAGTAATAAAGCTGATGAAAACTTTCAGAAAATTGCAAAAAGTAGATATGGTGAAATGACTTGATTCTGTTGAATTAAATGGACTTACTTTTTCCAAGCGAGTAAGAGATTGACTGGATGACTTATCAGATGAAAGTGAGATATTTGGTTCCTCAACATCATCTTCAAAACCAAGTTCACAAATAGAGGTGTAACGTTCGCGCTTCACGTTTTGTTCATAATCCTCAAGTCCCAGTCGAATTCTTTGCAGCATATCTGCATGAATCTTGGCACTAAACGAGTAAAAAATGTGTCAAATAAGTAGAAAAATATTATCAGCTAGAAAGCGAACGACAAAACTGCAAAATAATGTGGTGATTGGAGGCCGTTTTGGATCTTGATTTCGTGCTAATTGGCACTGGTCAGTAAGATGTGACTGTAATCTTGAGACCTTATGTTTCCTGATGCACTCGATTCTGTCTCACCCAGCTCATAGTCAAAAATCTTACCACTGAACTATTTAAGCCGCGACTAACGTTTTGTGGAACTGATATATTTACAATTGACTGACTAGGGTTACTACCACTGAGTGACCATTCCATTATACAATGCAAAGTTCAGTTATTAATCAACCCCTCGGAGACTAAACATTGGCTTTTGATCTTTCTTTTCATGAATAGCATACTGTTGCAGATTAAAAATACGTCTTTACCGATGATCAGATTTCCTGTAATACCTTGTTTAGTGAATACCAACTTGCGGAGTCACCTCAACAATTAATGACACTATTTGGCTTCCTCCAGAAAAGTATGTACAGCGAGGCTCTAACCTGAGAACTGATGATCGGAAGGTGAACGCATCAATGACCTGAAAACTGAACCAGTCTCGTATATACTTAACTCCAAACCAAACATTTCTGATTCCACTGTACGTGATTGATAATTAATTTTAAAGAATTATGGTAAAGCTACTTTATTGTGGTTCAGGTTCTGAAAAGTAACCATGGAAACATGTTGTTTAAGCATCGTATACCTTTAGTATATTTGGATTATTTTTAGAAGTAGAATTCATGACGTTCTTTTCGTCAGGACCTGTCAACAGAATGCAGATTCCAGTTTTGAGTTCTGTATCGAGACTATACCAACCGATGAGTAGAAAATATCAAATAAAAACGCACATCCCGGATTCTACTACTGGCTACAATCTAATTATGCTTGTAACTAAGATGGTATTTGCTCAGGATTCACATACTTTAACATAGAATGATTGGAATTCAGTTTAAGCAACAACCGGAAAATACAAACTCTAGAATAATCGTTTATTATTATCTTGTAGTAAAATCTGGTGTAAAACTAGAAATATTGTTAATTTTTGAAGTATGTACAAAAAAGGTTGCTTTCTTCGTATGGACAGCACTTGTCAGTGATAAAATTTGGTTAAACATTTATGTGACGCATAGAAAAGTACACATATTTTCACATGACTAGTACATAATGGGAAGTGACAAGAAATAACTACTTCAAATCAGTAGGTGAGCTTAAAATAGGCCGGAAACACATCGCTAATATTTATAACAAACATGAGACATGAATTAAAAATAAACATTATTATACTAAGTGAAACTACTATTTTAGGATTAATACCATATTTATCGTTACTCCACAACAGATATCGTAATAACTTTTGAACAAGTACTATTATCTGACTTAACATCTTTACGACAAAAATAGACTAGAGGTCGAAAATGTCAGCAGAGTAACAAAACATGTACATAAAAAACAAATTAGTTACCGAGACTGATAATCTGGATTGGGGTGGCGATCACCAGATGGGTGTTTAGCCAAAAGGCGGGAAGAATTGGCAGTATGTTCGGAAGATGTGTATCCACTATGTATTGTTTGACTCTTGTCAATTGTAATATTACAAGGTGTAGTATTCAATGGGCCGGATTCGAAATCAGCTTTCTCAATCCACGATTCAGATGTTCGAGATGGCTTTGATACATGTGCTTTCGCGTTGAGAGTGCTTTGATCAGAAGCGCGTCCACCCGCTCTTTCAGGGACAATAACAATTAGATAATTCAAGAGGTCATCTTCATCAATATCACTGAACTCAGAACACGAAGATTCGTTCCTTTGACGATGACTAGTCTAAAAATTTAGGAATACGCATCAATAAGTAAGTATGCCTTGAACTACTATTACTGATTATTCAAGTTCTACTGTTAAGAAAGATTGTTTAGGACTATATTGTCATTAAGAATAATTAGATAAACCTAAAATTGTTCGGTATCATTGGTGAAACATTTGATAATTTACATTGGCGTATCATGACAACGCACGAAGAAATCTGATTCCGATATGTTCGAGCTGTACAGACTTTCGACAAAATTGTTTACCAACAAGAGGTTTACGTATTGAGATTTGGATCACGTTTAATGTGTCAGAACTAATGATACTACTTGAAGGCCGAGAGTTAGCATCATTTGACTAAAACTACGAATGGTTATTTTTCACAGGCCTAAAAAGCCAAGATGACCAAAATTGAGTTTTAAGAATTACATGTTACCAGGGTAAGTGGAAAGAAAACACTAAGAATAAACTATGTTCACGACCAAAAAGTTTGCGACAAGTACATCGTGTATAAATTGCGCTACAATGAAATCTTAGCTGTTCCGGAAGATTATAAGGTTCTTGATCAAAATATAAACACGCTACTAAAGTGAACAACACTTGAATGGAATATCACACAGGACGATTTCTTACGCTTACTGAATGTGTTAATTTACAGCTACTAAACTACTGGAGTTGAAGTTTTCCTAGCATCAGACTGCCAGGATGGAACTGGATCTAGGGAAGTATGAATAGTGGATTTAACAAAAACTCATAATGAGAAACAAGGTAGAAAAGTTATGTTTAGTATTCTTAATTTTAACTAGAAATCTTATCAAAAACCATTCGCGTTTGTAAAATTACGCTTATCTGTAGTGAAGTATACTTCTTGGATGAAGTATTACTTTCTACTTACGTTCACCAATATTATTGTCTCTCTGTCTTCCTTTTTGACTATCTGATAACTCTTACTGTTGAGTGCGAACAGTTTGGAAGAAAAATAATGTATTTCATCAACATGGATAATTGATTTGACAGAGCCAAATTTGAGTAGGAATTAAGACCGATTTTGTGATGAAATTTGTAGACGTAAATAATTCAAACATATAGTGTGATCTTTATATCAGGTTTAAAACACTAAGCGACTATACTCATGGAACATAAGGCTTGTGGTCCGTCGCCCATAACGTTTCAGATCCACTACAACCGCTTATCTCGATAACAGAACACAGAAAACGTTTTTTCGAACATAAGGAACTAGAGAGATGAAATTATCTGACATTTTAGTACGTATACGTTGGAAGGCAAACCGTAATATCTAGTTGATCACCTTCATTCGGTTTACAGAAAATTGTCGGTACCATACAGCATCAAAAAGACAAGCCCCATGAAATCTCAATCGGAAGCAATTATTTCTACCGTGTTCATTCACTATTGTATGTTATGAAACTGATGTTATCTTCATATATTATGTACCAAGAAACTAACAATCGTTGGATGGACTCTACTAAAAATTAAAAAATAGACGACTATTTTGACTAGACTTACTTTGAATAGGCATTGAGACTTGACATCGAAGAGGGACTTTTGGGTTCTTAAAACGGACAGGAAAACCAATTTTTGACTAGGAACAACACAAATCTTTTTTTAAAGTCAACGTTGAATTAGCTATTATTAAATCTAAATAACTGTTCTACAATGCTTAAAGAATACAATGCCTTGTTTGCATCCAAACCTTGTATTGCTAAAACTAAGTACAAGGCATGAATAGTATGTACGTGTATGGGAACGCCAAGCTTTGGCTCGGATTTATTAATACATCTTGGAAAATTTGCATTCTTACCGTTGTAACAGGGATATTTGAATTGGATGAAGACAGAGCCTTGAGACGACTGCGTTGACGACGTTCTACCTTCAGCCAATTAACATCGTTTATTTCTCCCGCGATGGTGGATGTCGAGTTTGTCACTTCCATACTAACAGTATTTGAAGGAGGTGCATCAGATATGCATGTCGAGGAACTCAGTGTAGTGGCCGAGGTGGAAATGGGAGCATGTTGAGTGAAAACTGTGGATTCTATATTTTGAACATATTTAAACTACACTCAACTTACCAATTGACACATCATAACTTTCAGAAACAGCTAGCCGACGTCTTATAAGTCCTCTACCAGCATCAATTTCTACAACACTGCTGTTACAACAAGCCTAAACAGTAATAAACTAATGAGATTGATGATACCTGAATAATAAGGTTTTCCGAAGCATCTAACTGCTTCATCCTGGGAAAGTTTAATATAACTTCTAAAGGCACATATCCATCAACAGTCATTTTTTCTTGAAGGTATCGGTCGCGGGTGAAGTTCCTGTCACCAAAGTAGTATTCTATTTGATTTCTGATCCTGGAAAGCCTCTCAGATACGCAGGCCACGCATTCATTTGTATCATAACTACATGGTTGGCTTTGAGAAATATGGTGTCGGTAGTGTGACAATACGCGAGGGTCTAAAATGGAATGCAACAACTATACACTTACTAAATCCTGGCCGAGGTACTAAGTAGCATAGCTCCACTCCAGCAAAATTTGGGTTGACGTATAGACACCATTGAGAGTTTGAGCAGTTACTTTGAAACTTTCGGATTTTATCTAGATTTCCACTTTTTATAGGTTCGGCGCATTCATGAGCCTCAAACTTATGCACATCCTTTAAATCCTTATAGACAGGATACCCATTTTCTGAAGGAAGGTTGCTTTCAGAAGGTAAAGAACTTTGGATTTTAGAAAACGTAAGCTGAACGGGCAGATCTTCCCACTTTTGTTTGGATTTGAGTCTAGTAACAAACTATTTAAAAATATAGGAATCATAAAGACATACTCTTTTATTACTTCCCGAGTTTTTGTTCAACTCATTTAAAGCTGGCCATTCGTTATCCACTATATGCAGACCACTCAGAAGTCCTTCATTCATCGCAGTAGGTCCTAATAATTAATTTGAACACGAATTTGACTTTGTGACCAAATCAGTAGCATTAGTAACAACGGCGTGCCGACACGCCGACAACGTATTACGCGCTACTAGTACACGACCCCAAATCAGTTTCAGTTTCAGTTTAGAAAGGACAGGAGGCTTGATGGCCTATGTTAGTCTTGGCGATGGTGGTCTCTCAGTTGATCCAAATTTCTTTTGAAAGAGTCGACGGACGGAGCCTCAACCATGTGCTGAGGAAATGAATTCGACTCGTTGATGATTCGATGGGAAAGTCGATACTCAACTGGCAAATAATTTGTTCGGAGCTTGTGAATTTTTTTGAGTGTCCCCGTAAATTCTCTGTTTTGGAAGACAAGAAGATGAGGTCATATCGGGTGCAAATTTATCACTAAGCAATTTGAAAACTGTTATCAAGTAGCCTCTAATTCTACGGTTTGACAACGGGAAAAGGCTCAGCTTAGCCAGTCGAGCTTCATACGGAAGGTTCGCTATTCCGGAAATCAGCTTAGTTGCCGTTCTCTGAACCTTTTCCAGAAGCTCATTGTCTTTTTTTAAGCAGTACTCAAGTTTAGGACGTACGAACACTGTATACAAAGTCAAAAACGTCTTGGCGTCAACATGACTAAAAGCCCCACGTATTGACTATAAGGTTCTAAAACCTTTAGCGGCTATTGCATAGCAGTGTGCAGTAGTCTTTTAGTCTTGGCTAACGATGACTTAGGTCATTATGTGTCTGGACAACAGGTAGCTCAGTGTTATTCGTCGTACATGTTCCTGTACTTTGATGGCCGATATGGATCAAAACACACTTAGAAATATTTATCGGCAACTGCCAGATTTGAGAGCATTCGGATAATTTCTTCAGGTCATTTTGGAGTTCTAAGCTATCACCCTTCCATCGTATTGTTCACCATATCTTGACATCGTCAGCATATAGCAAGACCGATGATGATAGGAAACGAGGAAGGTCATTTACATACAAGAGGAATGGCACTGGCTGCAAAACTGTACCCTGGGGCACTCCACTAAGCACGTTTACCCAGCTAGATAACTTTGAGTTCACCCGTACTCTTTGATGACGCCCCACCAAGAAGTCTTTTATCCACATCAATAGATTGCCTCCAATCCCGACATTTCTTAACTTATATAACAGCCGGTTGTGCGGAACCTTGTCAAAAGCATTACTGAAATCAATGAAGGCTACGTCTACAGGATAATTTTTGATCCTTAAGAGCGTACCAGCTTTCACGAGCCACTAATAAGTTAGTGAGACAAGAGTAACCTATTCTGAAACCGTGCCGCTTCTCCGAAAGGATCCGTTTTTCATCGAGGTACTTAAACAGCTCCTTCCGAATAATCCTTTCTAAGGTTTTAACAAACACACTAGTTAGGCTAGTGGGTCGGTAATTCTCAGGTTTATGTTTCGTACCTGTTTTGAAGACAAGACTTACTATGGCGTTCTTCCAGTTTTTTTGGTAAACGATCCTGCGTTACGAATAGATTACAGCAAATATTTAAAGGGTTCGCAACGAAGTTAGATAGTTCCTTTAGTAGCTTGGGGTGCAATTCATCGGGACCTGTGAATTTACCAATGTCACGCTTATTTAGTAGACCAAAGACATCGAGTTTTTTAATGGTCACGCTATTCAGTGTATGTGTGGAGGAATTTGTATACGCTGGCGCGAATGGTGTTTCTATGGTATATAAATTGCTAAAGTAGTTCAAGAACACTTAGACCTTACCAAAGTCGTCCTCTACTAGTGATGCGGCAGTGCTGTCTCCCCATAGAGTGTGAATATTTCCTCTTCTTTTTTTCTTTTGGTTTATATAGGAATACAAGCGTTTAGGAAATTCTATGGATTCCTTAACAATTTCTTCTTCGTACAACTTTCTAAACTTACAGAGGGTCGAGGCACAGGTATTCCGAGCTTTTCGATACTGAGATTTTGTCTCCTCAGCTCCCAGTAACTTAAATTTATCACACATTTTTCTTCTCTTACGGAGGAAGATGCGAACCTCCCTACTGAACCATGGTGGAAAGTTTCTCGGCCCCCTTAGTATAGTCTAAGTGATGTGGTGTGCAGTAACTTTCAAGTAAAAATTTCGAAATGCATCCCAAGCTATTTCAGTTGAGGACTCTGGGCTTATTGTCCAATCTACTAACGATGCTGAGCGCATGATATCTGGTATGTTTGCTTTCCAGACGTTAGTTCTGGATAGAGCAAACGCGTGCTGGTGATTGACAGTTACATGGAAGTCGAAAGTTAAAACTGCGTGATCACTTTTACCTAGGGGTGTCGTGTAATGACCTTTAAGGTCACGAATAGCAGCTGAATTAACCTGACTATCCTTCTAGTCGATCTCTCTCCCTTGCAGAGCTGTTCAGGACTGTAGGGGTTTCGATTCACTTAAAATCATACATGAGTAATACATGAAGGAATATAAGGAGTCTACTTTCATGGTTGGCTTTGCCACCAAGTCAAATCTATGTGTCTACTTGGAAATTCCATATGCATTGTCAATTGTGATTTGAAGCTAATGAGATTTTTTTTATGTTCCTCTTAAAAAATTAAAAAAATTAGTGTTGATTGTTATGCGTCTGGAATTCAAAAAGATATGAGGTGGATAAATAAGTAAGTATTACTCTGGCCGAATCAGTTTTTATGTACTAGGTTATCTTTAGGCCTGCTGAGAAGCACCGACGTTATTTTGATGGCACAGGTTCTACATTATATATTTGTAAATGGTTGTCACCCTGTTTATTGTAGGACATCTTTGTCAGACAATGTGTATTGGCTTCAAATATGTATCATTCTCTTCCTTCCACTGAGTACTTTTCAGCGAATTAATATTACCGATCGAAAGAGACAATAGTTAATGCCCATAGATAGTTTGGCAGTTTCGATTGTAAATCTAACGGAATTATCGGGACAAAACTACCTGAGAAGTGATAGGGATTGATCCATGTGAGGTGATGGGCCCTCACGTACATAACGAATAATATAAATATCCGTTCCCGTGTTTGTGATGGTGGAATTTGTGAAGTTACTAGCTGAGAACTCACTTCTGAAGGCTGTACATTTATAATCGGTGTCATTTATCATAGCCCACTCTGCTTGGTTGACGATTTTATTTTAGAGCACGTAACAGTACGAAATAAAAATAACGGATATATGATATTAGGATATTTCAGTGCAACTGCTGTTAGCTGGATAGAGGTGGCCTGAAAAATCTTTTAATTGTAGGCTCCTCATGACGGTTGTGGAGCAGCATGTTTTCGAGTCCATACATCCTGGTTTAAACAACCGATTTCCTTAGCTAGACTTAGCAATCACTGATAAGACCGAGTATATCGTCTATCTAAATGTTCTCCCACACTTAGCAAACAGCTAACATGTTTTGTTATTCATGTTTAGGGCTAGTGACACAGAATACAATCAGAATGTACCCTGAGGAAGCATATGGATGCAATAAACAAAGTAGAATCACATACTGCACTTTTAAATTTAGAAAATAACGCATTGAACACACCGTTTGCGCATCTTTCTTGAATTGTCTTTTACAAACTCCGTCCGTTTCATTTTTGTTGCTCCTCGGACCTCTTCTGTTTTTCATTCTCTTCTCATCATGTTCCTCTCCTATCAGTACGAATCGTACTTCCATTTATCGACACATATTACTATTTGCGCGTGTAATTTGCAGACACCACACTATCAAATTGAGAATCTGTAAAAAGTGGAGTTCCACAAGGTATAATCATTAGCCCTCTTCCTTTTATGCTTTACGCACATCACTTAATTTAGCAAAGTCATCTGTTGTAATTTTGACACCAGGAAGTGAATCTTGCCATTTTCACCGGAATGCAGTTCAGATATATTGGTTCTTCCAAAATAATGTAAATTATCACACTGATAAAATTTAAAACGTCAGTGTATATTGGCAAAACTGTGAAAGACTACAAAAACACATGTACAAAACACTTACTTTGTAGACAACAAAGTTACTTACTCATACACTTTTGTTATGAGTCTATAATTCATGTGAATTATCCTTCTTCCTCATGTTTTATGTTTACCCGGTAACGGAATTTCACACATGTAAACTCTAAAGGCAATGTTAGAAGGTATTATCATCACTGATAAAAGGATTATAGAAAAAGCATAGTAATCAGGTGTTCATCTAGTATGATGACATGCAACTCTTATAAACATTACGATCATTTTGTGATATCTTTAAACGTGGAATACGTCTACTACCGAAAAACTAATTAATACATCTAAGATCTTGTCTATATTGGTCACGTGATGCCCTTGTTAATATAGTATGCAATATTGGAAAAATATTTCTTAACAATATGAAACAAAATAATTTTCTGTCATCAGAACGTCAAGTATAAAATGAACGTCCATATAAATCTCAGAAAGTGTTAGTCGGCAGTAAGACTGATTTGTAATCTATTGTTTTCTATCCGAAGACGTTTACGCTGGACGGAAGTAGATCATATTGAAAGTGAGTTATTTCAAACCTTGTTATAAAGAGAAAGATGGTGGATACTATCATCAGTGGTTTGGATCTAGTGAAATATCATTTAACTCAGGCTAAAACATCCATCAAACTGGACCGTTTTTACGTTAGAGGGCTGATCAGTGAACTCTGAACGATTTACTGAATATCGCGGTGGTCAACGGTGAAAACCTCTGGTTAACGATTCCAAGCGTTGCTCTCAACAGTTTGTCCCTTATGTATATTTTATTGTTTTATTCTTTTCGTGTACTAATAAATCATTTACATAGTAAAATAGTGTTAGTTGTTCACAAGACTGAAAAATAGATCATTACCCGATCATCATTATTGAGTAATTTGTGATAGGTGTTTATTCTGTAGCGGTAAATAAATCCCCAAAATAAATAGCTCTGTAAGTTTTCGACACTGGATGCTGACCACATTGGTTTTAATGGACTCACCTAGCTGAAGGCGCTCGGTCATGCATCCGCATCAGATCACGAGTGGGAACGCCGTGCTCAACACATACTGTAATCGCTACCCAGACTAAATCAGACAATTCCGATATGTTGGCAATCGCCAAA